TAGACATCCAGACACTTCCAGTATCCTGTCCTACATGCAGAAAGGCAGAAGGCCACCACAGATTGCCACTTTCCAGTCCTCCCGAGGTGCCGTTTGCTGAATTATGCTTGAATAGAGGTGGGCCAGACATCTTGGTTGTAGCGTCTGAGCTTCGGCGGGTGAGAAACAAACTGTTCTTCCCAGGCTTAGCCAGCTGAATCAAACAGGCAGCCTTAATTCTGTCACACGTGGCTTATTTGGGACACTGAATGTCTTTTTCAGCAAACGGATGTAAAAATCAATTACTCATGAAGGTATAAAGAGTTTCTCCTTTTCGGCAGGTTGCTTTTCCTTGGCTAAGAAGGGAGAGAAAAAGCAAGCACCATGTTTAACAAAGCGCACCCCTCACCCCACCCCCAGCAGCCTTGCAAACCTGCCTTGCTCGGCCGTACGGCGGGGATCCAGTCTTTGACAACAAGAATAGCAAACCACCACCACCCCCCGGTCCTGTTTGGTGCCAAATGCACACATTGGATTCTTAAAGCTGGCTGTTTAATTGCATTTATTTATTTGCATTCTTTAGTCAAGAGGCTTTCGAAAAAGCCCCAAAATTTCATTCATTCGAGGTGACGCTCAGGTGTTTCTAAGCAGCTTCTGCAGGTCCTTTTCTGGAAACGGAGGCTGGAATGAGGTGCTTATATCTTACGGGCTTGACTTCTTTGTTAGCTCAAGAGACACTTGTTTCCCTCACCCCTGTCCGCCTCACAGATGTGATTGATTCTGTAGCTGCAGGGATGGTTTTCATGCTTGAGGGACTCAGCTGAAGATTTTGCCCTGGTTTTTAGATCAATAAAAATATCAGCACTTCCCACTTTTGCAGCTTCTGGCTGGGCACCTCTCTTTCTCCCCGTGTCTTCTGGTCGATTTCTGGGTAACTTGAGTTAGGTGAGCAAGAGTTTTTGACTCGTCGTGGTTTGACCATATCAGTAACTAAACAATTCTCTTCCTGCTCTAAATTCTAATGCTAAAATGGAAATCCTTGGAGTGGCTGGGGTGGATATTTTTTTCCCTTGTGGAAAGACTGAAACACAAAGCCAGTTTTGGTATTCAGAACAAAATCCAGGGCTCAAAATTGTTTAGCTTGAGGATGAAGAAAGCCCCCCCCCTCCAGACCTGTAGCAGCAACTCCCACAGTCATTTTCTAGCGGCTGTGCTGCCCACCATGGGTGAGGGTTGCTGCCCGCTAGTACCTACCTGGGCAGCTGTTTTTGTTCTTCATCCATGGGCTAGTTCTTTTTGTCTTTCGCACCAAGCTCTGGTTGAACCTGGCACTGCTGATGAAAAGGACAGGAGATCCGGAAGTCTTGTGGTTTGCCTATTTCTTGCTTGATTCCTTTCATAAAATCATAGACTAATGGAGTTGGAGTGGGGGCCTCTGAGATCATCCAGTCCAACCCCCTGCTCAAGGCGGGGATCCAGATCCAAGCAAATCCAACACATGGTGGTCCAGTGTTGAAGGCCTCCAGCATTGGAGGATTCACCACCTCCTGAGGTCTTGGGTTCCATTGTCATACTACTCTTAACAGTTAGGAAGTTTCTGAGCCGAGATCTGCTTTCCACTTGAGCCTGTTGAGACCCTGAAGGGTAAACCAAGCCAGAAGGATTAGCGGTTGAATTTTGCTGGAGGCAAATTAGTGTATATGAAAATATCCGTCGATGTTATTAGGATCCCGGTGGGAAGGAAGACCAGGTCGGAAGAAGCCATACCCCAGACTGCCTCATTGGAGAGATAAAGAGAAGGCCACATCTATGCTCAGAGGCGTCTTCAGCCGCTTGGCAAGTGTCTGTGTAGCCGAAGCTTTCTTCCTGTTCCTCACAGGGCTCATGAAGGGATATATATATATATACACTCTCTCTCTCTCTCTCTCTCACATCTCTCTCTCTCTCTCTCACGGTCGTGGGCATGCCTTACACACGCCGCGGATCCACGGCACGCTGGGAAGAATGTAAACATTCCCCTTGTTTGCTTTCGGATTTATCTGAGCCAGGCCGGCTTGCGTAACTGTATATTCATTCTGCGGCTAAAAATAACGAACAGGAACAGAAAAAGCTATTTTTATCTCACTCGCAAGTGGGTACCTCCGCTCTCTTTGTTTCTGTGTTTTTAATTTTGGCCACCTTGGCTTCAAGGAAGAGGTGTTTGGTTGAGCCGACAAGGTTACGGACCTGACGGGCTAAGCTGTAGCATAGCGGCTGCGTGACGAATCAAAAGAGCCTTCCGTTTGAATCTTTCGAATACCAAGAAACTTGGTCTGTGGCTTTCTGCAAGCCTAGGATTCTTCTGATCCTCTATCCTTACCGGCAGCACTCAGATAATACTTCTACTGTGCAAGGAGCTTTAAAAGTTCCGTCCTTGCTTTCATGAAGTGGTTGGGACGCTGAAAAGTACTACATCTTACTTCTTTGCTTTAGAAATGTATTTATTTATTTAAAATATTTTCATCCTGCCTTTCTTCTTAAAAAGAACCCAAGATTGGCTTTTCCCAGTGAGACCTTTGTTAGAGTTCTGTTTTGTGGCTTACTGTCTTTATATTCTGCCTTTTTTCTTTCCTTTCCCTAACTGAAAAAAACAAGCCCCAGGGTGATGCCTGTTATTGCACAGGGAATTTTTTATAAGGAATAGGCAGCTGTGTGGTCCGCAAGATTACACAAATACCAGAGTGTGTGATACTGTGTACTGGGCCAACAAAGGGTATCCAGAAAAGTTGGTCAAATATTCATTCATTCATTCATTCATTCATTCATACCCCGCCTATCTGGTCATATTGACCACTCTAAAAGGTAGAATCCACCATTACAAGTGCTGGATAACTCAGGGTTTTAGGTGTCTTGATTCCCCTATGGTTCCTTTCAGCTCTGTGGTTCTGAGATGGTGGTAGGGTTGGGGGTGGGGGTGGGTGAATGGGTCCATCTCAGAAGGGTTATGTTCTCCAAAAATAGAAAGTGCGTGTGGTCCGCAAGATATTGTTGAACTACAGCTACCATCATCCCTCTACAAGCCCAGGGCTTTTCCATCCCCTGGTACATGATGCACTGAGGGGGCCCCCATGCTCATGGGTCCAAAGGCCCCCCCTGGTAGGGGAGAAAGCGAGACGTTGTCCTTCAGCTGCTGTCTTGGCTCCCGTGTTGAGTTTGGAAGCTCGGGTACAAATGCCATAAACCAGGACATATATGTGCCCCCCTCCAACCAAGGATGATTCTGTGGCCTCCAGCCACATCCTATTCTTCGAGGAAAAATAAATGAATTAAGTAGCCACTTCTGGAAGTCTCCAGGAATAGCAAGACCTCTGTGCAGTTTTTAGCACTAAAATTAAAAATACTTTTTTTTATTTTCAAAATCGGAAGTGGACTTCGGCCCTTCTGAGGGTCCCAGCGACAGAAAACTCCCCTGCCGAAGTGAATGAATAAACCCCTGCTATAAATGAATCCTTGGGGGGCCTCTTCTTAAGCTGCTGCCCTTCCCTGTAGTAAAGACGTCTTAAGCAAAAGGAGCTTCAGTAGAAAGAACCCTCTGACTCTCTTCTGAAGCAGTCAACCTCGTGTTTGTGGTTGGGTTGGCCCACCAGCTGGCTGGTGAGTTTGCCAGAGGCGTCTGTTCGGTTTTAGGAAACAGGGCAGCCGGTTAGGCAGACTGGGCGGTTTGATCCATAAAAGTGGGGGTTCTTTTCCACCTACAGGGTAGTAGTTGTCCTTTTGATCCCCCCCCCTCAAGAGACACACACACACACACACTCTCTTCAACACAAAAACACAGTGTGGTAAATCCATGAGAAGTCTGGAGCCTTCTGTTTGCTTTGGGCCGGAGAGCGCCCTGCCGTTGCCTCATTAGGTTCTGGAGCCATGTTGCCAGAGCGAAGCGCCTGCTGGTGGATGAAATCCTTTGGGTCTCTGCTGTTTGTCTTGGTTTCTGCCCTTCTGTATTGATCTCTTCCCCCCTTTTATTTTTGTTTTAACCAAACTGCATTAATAAATTAAAAGCTTTTAAACCCTTTCTACCCCAGCGAGAACTTGGAAAGGAGAGGTATAGTTGAAGTATAAAGAGGTATAGATGCTGGTTTGTGTGTCTTGTAATGAAGATGTTGCTTATATCAGCTGCGGTGTCTTCCTTGTGCCTACTTTATAATGATCATCATCTTAGAACGGCAGAGCTAGAAGGGACCCTTGAGACCATCCAGTCCAACCCATGTTGGGGAGGCCCAGTGAAGGAATCCAACTCCCAGCTTCTGGCTCCACAGCCACAGACCTCAACCACTCAGCTATCCAGCAGTTACATGTACTCTTTTTGTTTGGTTTGGTTTTATTTTATTTCAATATACCCACAGTCTCAGGTGCACTGTGCGATCGTGAGGGGGAAGCCCTCTTGTGAACCAAGGCAGTTTAGGGAGGTAAGGAACTAGTTAAGTTCCCTGCCGAGCATCCGGGCTCCTGATCAGGCTTGATTCTCTGCAAGCACATTCAAGGTTTTGGTTTCTTCCTGCTTTGTTAGAAAAAGTTAGCAGAAGTCTGCATTTATGACTGCAGCCTTATATGACCTCAATGTTGAACCAACCTAAATTTGCATGGGCTGCAAATTCTAAAGAAAGAGGGGCATTTTCTTTGCCTTCAGATTATGCTCATGTGTTTCACCAAAGAATCCTTAGTTGGAGGAAGAGAAAATGCTTCTTGGAGCTGTGCTCGCCCTCTGCCTTTTTTTAAAAAAAGAGATGCATATTATAAAAAAAAGATGCATGTCTGTCTGGCCACTTGGCACCTTCCGAGTGAGTCCATTTAAGTTGTTCCTAAGTGATGCATTGAACCGGTCCACCAGTTTTAAGCCTTGCTGTGTCAGCCCTAGAATTGGAAAAGAAAACAGTTTGCTTTTCTAGAAGTAAAAAAATGAAACAGCCAGCAGAAACTTGGCTCAAGCTCACGGTAGTATCCTGAATTTGCCACGTGTGGTGTGAGCGGAGAGTGTCTGCGAAATGAGAGAGCCACTTTCTGGGCTTGAGGTGAGCCCTGCAGCGGCTTTTTGCAAGGTGGTAGTGCAGCTCCCCAGAATCTTCCTGTCGCATCCTGCATTGCGGGGTGTGTGTGTGTGTGTTTCTCTTCAAAGTGGCACATGCCCTGCCTTCGTCACTGGTTTCTTGCACTCCTCATAATAATAACTAAGATCGCCAGGGCTGGTCCAGTCCCTCTCAAGAAGCCCAGTGGGGGAATTGATCTGCCAACCTCTGCCTCCTCATCCAGAGATGGCAACCCATAAGCTCCCATCAGTTCTCTCCCATTCCTGTTTGACTTCATTGGTCTGGATAAAAGCAACCCAGTAAAGTATCAGGGGAATTTTGACCCTAATAGTCCACCCTTAGAGGGCACCAGGTCACCGGGAGGTGGGTCCCATTTGGGGCAAGTGCTTTTCACATTCATTTTCATGATCAATTGGTGGACGTCTGCTTCCTGGGATCCTGTATTTGTCAGGTGTTTGTTTTCTCCCTAAAGTAGAAAACTATTTTATCGGCTGCTATTCTGTGGGCAGAGGTCAGCCGCTTGAATGAGAAGTACTCCGTTGCCTGTGGAGGTTCTCCATGTGAATTGGCACTCTGGATCTGCGGGGTTTCTTCATGCATGTAGAGTCTCAGCCGGTGGTCGAAGTTCCCGGTTTGAGGCTGTGACTTTTGTGTGTTAAGTCAGGCTCCCTGGATGTAGCGAGAGACGAAGGGGGTGTGTCATATGGTCATCTGCCTCATGTGTTTAATTGACTCGTGAAGAGGACGCGTCTGTTTCCTCTTCTGTCATCCCTTTTCTCAGCGTGGGATCTCAGCAGCGAGGTTCATTCTCTCCTCCTCCTTTGTTTTACCAGTTACAGCTACAGAAAAACCAGTATTTGCAGTTGGGACAAAGCCGTGGCCAGTACTATGGAGGGTCCCTGCCAAACGTCAATCAGATCGGCAGCAGCGCCATGGACCTGCCCTTCCAGGTAAAGCTCGGCCCTGCCTGCTTTGCTCTCCGGCTTTTTAAAACACACACACACAAATCAAGTTCCCGCTTCTGCAGCACGAGGAGCCAGATATGTCCGCATTAAGGGATGGGGATGAAGTGGGAAAACCATCTGTGATGGTTAATGGTTAGCACTTGGAAGATCAAACAGTTTGGGGTTCGGGCCCATCTTTGAGCTCCCCACCCCCCGCCCCACCAGTCGCCTGGCTTACCTGATGTCATTGACTTGGCCTCCACTCTGCACATGTGCCCACTGGCCAGCTGGCTGCCAGGGAAGTCCAGCGATGGCTGCCGTGGTGGCAGAGAGCCCAGGCAATGGGGTGGGTGGGTGTGTATGGGGGGGCAGAGATATGCCCGAGTCACCATGAAGCGCACAAGCCTAGTTGCTGCCTCAGAGCAAGGCACGCAGGGAGGAGGCAGAGGGCGTGGCGACTCGGTGACAGGAGGTGGCTGGGCAATGGAAAGGGGGGTGGGTGGGCCATCCCATTTTCCCTGAAGTGAAGCGACAAGCAGAAAAAAGTTCACCATTTCGTTTTGCTTCTGCAAATCGGAGTCCCCCAACCGGGTCATGAACTGAACTGTGAACCAACCTGATTTTTCGTTTTTTTCTGGTTTGCCGTTTGGCTCTCGTCGGTATGTAGGCACACCTGTGTGAGAAGCAAGAAAAATAAAATTCCACACACACATGCCCACACACATTCTTAGCCTGGCCGTGATTTCCCCCAAGGTTGAGCTTGGTCTTCTCTATCAAGCCTCTGCCTTTTGGTTCTCATTCACCCCAAGAAATAGCGGAAAGAGGGCGCCCCGCATTTCAAACACCCTCTTCTTTTTCTCTTTTTCTCCAGACTCCATTTCAGTCGTCCGGGTTGGACACCAGCCGGACGACTCGGCACCACGGGCTGGTGGACAGGGTGTACCGTGACCGAAACCGCCTCGGCTCGCCACACCGACGCCCCCTCTCCGTGGACAAGCACGGCAGACAGATATCCTTTTTGGCATGGTGTCTGGCTGGGAGAAGCATCTGGTGGCTGGGTTAGGCAGGTGGAAGGTGGGGATCTCCGGGTCGGTCTCCAGAGCGTTGACGGCAAGCGGTTCTGCCCGTCAGTGGTTGAACAGTAGCCACAACGGCCTCCAAAACTTTTTTTTCTCCCCTCCCCGCCTTGCAAACTAGCATGCTGAAGTCAAGAACGCCTTAGGGGAAAGAGGCTTGTGAGTGAAACAGGTTGCGCGTGGGCTCCAGGCCTGGTCTTGAGAATAAAATTCTTGGCTTTGATGAGCGCGTCCTCAGAAGACACTTAGTTCAGCAGTTCTTCCGCCAGTTTTTTTGCGCTTGGCTGCAGTCGGGAGACCTCATGGCAGTCGTCAGCAGAGAGAATAGATCCCACAGGCCGAAACTGTCCAAGACCGGCTGGGTCGGTTGCCCCTAACCTCGTGCTCTGCAGATGTATAATAGACCCCTGCTCCCGGCGTCCCCACTTAGCCTGCTAGCAGGGAGTCATGGGAACTAGAGTTCCTAGAAAGGACCCCCGTGGGGAAAAACTGGCTTAGTTTCTGGTTTGTGTAATGATTTATCTGATGCAGATCTTGGCTTTCTCCAAGCGCTTGGGAGTCGAGTTGAGTTCATTATTATTATTATGATGGTCCGTGAGGACTGAAAGACATTAAACATCACGCAGATTGGATTTATGAGGCAGCCACCACACTGAAAGACTACAGAACAGAGCCAGCATGGGGGCAGAGAGATCACCTGTGTCTCCAGGCATCAGAGCTTGTAATTTGGAGGGGGGCCTGTTTGTGATGGGGTCGTGGTGAGAAATGAGAAGCAGGCTGGCCCTTGAGGGGAGGGTACTCCTTATCAGAAAGCAGTGTCTACTGTCCTTGAGCAGCACCTGGCAGAGGCTCGGCCAGCTGCCTTGTGGTCCGAAGCAGGACCATGGCTAAGGAGAGCTGCCTTCTCACTCTCTGGTCACACGTGGAAGAGCCCGGCTCCTCTCCCCTCCAACCTCGGGAGACTCTGTGGACGTGTGTGGTTTTCCTTGGCCTTTTGCCCACCTCCTCGGTCTTTGGAGGTCGCTCCTCTTGCAAAGCGGGGTTGCGGCTTCACGCCTTGAACGAGAGGATCTGAGGCAGGAGGAGATAAACCGTTGCCTGCGAGAAAAGGCTGCTGTTTCCCGCCTTTGTGAGCCTTTTTGTGGCTGGGGATTCTGGGGATTGAAACAAAGGCTTGCTATCCACGATCTAAAGTTTCTCACCGGCATCCTCATGCAAGAGAAAAAGGATAAGTTGCAGAAGGTATCCAATCTGGGCCCGATTCCTCTGGCAATTTGGTCTCCGCGGTTTTGTTTCCTGGGGGAAAATAATGTGTTTCTTCCTTGACCGTCTGACTCACGTAGACAGCTGTCCATACAGCACCGTCTATCTCTCTCCACCCTCAGATACAAGCTGGAGAAGGTCTGTATGTGCTAACTTCTGAATAGGCCACTTTTCGCTTTTCTGTTGTTGTTTTTAGCCTGTGTCTTTTTAAATATGTTTTGAATTTAGCATAATCCTTTGAGCCACGTATCTTAGGAGAGAAATTGTGATGGTTTGGGTTCTTTTTTTAAAGAAGATAGGCAAGGTGAAAATATTATGAATGAATGAATATTTGTGCTTTTGGGCTACTACAACTCCCAGAGTCATCCCAGACAGCGTTGAAGAATTCTGGGAGTTGTAGTTCAAAAACCAAGCCTGCACATCATTAGTTTTGCACTTGGGTGAGCTGAGAACTTGGCCCGATTCTCTTGCTTAGCTTAAACAGGGTTCTAGATCTTGGTTTTTCACAGGAACTATTCTGAAGGCTTACCCATGGCTTAAGATCACTCCTTGGTTGCCAACTGTGGTTAAACTGGTGGGGGAAGCTCATGATTCATATGCCTACATATGTGTGTCTGTTCTCTTGTGCTATTAACTTAGCCAGCAGTATTTAAAAGCTTGCCCAGTGTTTCTACTTCAGAATCACTAGCAGCTGCTAATACATATTTGGAATCTTTTTTTCTTAAAAAAAAAAGCAGAAACATTAAAATGGCAGAAAAAAATTAAAATACACAGCAGCAGCAGCACAATAAACGGGGGTTAAGCTGTAATTCACGTTTCAAAAACAACAGACATAAAATATCCCACAATAGACTAGTCTATGAACAGGCAAAGTTATTGGACTGTCATCTCCATCATTGTTTGCCCTGGGCTGGGCTGGACAGAGCTGATGGGACTTAGAGTCCAACAGCAGATGGGAACTTTATTCATCAATAAAACATTTATTCCTCTAGATGTTTTGTTCCGGCTCCTTGGTTTTCAGGGCTGTTCAGAGCAGCTTATCTAAACTCCACCCAGTGAATTAAAAAAAAAAAAAAGCTGCCGCCAGAGAAGCATTTAAAGCAGAGTGGTATTATTACCACCAGCCACTAGAAGTGCTCAAAATGTGAGCAAAGAAAACAGAAAAAGGGAGAAGTCTATGCCAGGTGTTCTCTCCTCACAGCCAGGCTTTTTGTAGCTGAAAATACCCGCTCTGTGCAGTGGGCAGGTGTGTATGGACAGGGTGTGTAACTGTTTCCTCCCCCTTTCCGAGCAGGACCAATTCAGACTCTGCCCTGCACCAGAGTACAATGACCCCGGCTCAATCGGAGCCTTTCTCAGCTGGTTCGCAAGATATGCAGCAGAAAAGAGGTAATTTCAATAGATTGAACTCAAGTCCCAGTCAGAGTCTTCACTGCAGTACTGCCGTGTAACCACCGTAGCGCAAGGCTCCTGTTTACTCACAGATCTCATGAGTTTTGATAGAGGCTATATAATAACCATTACTTAATGAGCCTATATAAATCTACCTTTTGCTCGGCTAACAATGTATGCTTTCCCACACATGTTTACGTCTTTTTCCCTCCCTCTTCTAGTCTTATTACTCACTGTGCCGGGCATGGAAGAAGAATCTTCAGATACAGACAAGAACCTTTCAAAGCAAGGATGGGATGCTAAGAAGGTACCAGCTCCAATTCTGTGCCTGTTTGAGGCATTACAAAGTAAAATATTTGCATATTTTCTTCTTCTATTAAAACGGATCAGGTGGCAAATAATGCCATAGCAGTTTCTAGGAAAAAAAACCCAAAACATTTATTATGCTAGGCGAGAGATATGTCATGGAATAAGACATTTCTCTTTTTTCCAGGGCCATACCAACATAACTCTGTGTTTATTCATCTATCTCAGGAGTTTTTGTAGCAGCTGCATATTAATAGCCATAACTTAATGAGTGTCTATAACAGGGGTCTCAAACATGTGGCCCGGGGGCTATTTGCGGCCTGCTGGATGATAGTTTGTGGCCCCCGCCTTGCCTGCCCCCCAAAGCGCCCACGCGTCCTCTGCTGTCAAGAGTCCAAAAAAACCTAGCTTCGCTCACCGGCTCTCTCCCAAGACAGCACCTCTTGTACGCTCCATCCAGAACTGCAGCCTGCCAGCCAGTCCGCCTGTCTGCCAGCTGGCAGGCTGCAGTTCTGGATGGAAGGTGCAAGAGGTGCTGTCTTGGGGGAGAGCCGGTGAGCGAGGCGCACTGCTGGCCCTTTCCCCCCCCAGTGCCCGACCCGCCGCCAAGCGATGCCTGAGAATGGCGCTTGCTCCCGTCCTTTCCTCAAAGAGCACTTCCAAGCCGCCAACAGCAGCTGCTGCCGCCACCGCCACTTCTTCCAGGGAAGCGGCTCTCTGGCTCTCTTTCTCTCTTGGCACTCCCAACACCAGCCCGGCCAGCGGCTGCCTCAGCACCCAGCGGTGCTTCCTCCTCATCCTGTTTCAGCCACCTTGGCTCGGGAGGCTGCTTGGGCTTGCTTCACAAAGTTTACTCCCCTGTCGTGGTGGGGGTATCTGCTGCTGCTGAGTGTGCCTTTTTTGAGGGGTTGCCTTCAGAGGAAGGTGTGTGTGTGTTTGTGTGTGTGTGTGCACACATCTGTGGGCCCCCCTGCCCCATTCTGTTTAATTTATCAGGTACCGGTGGGGGCTTTTCTCCTTTGGCAGGTTGAATTCTATGAGGGTTTTTAAAATTTTTATGTTGTGCCCTTCCCCCCCGTCTAGCGCTCCCTCCCTTCTCCTCTTTTTCGTCCTGCTGCTGCTACTGGTGGTGGTGGTAGTGAAGAAGGAGCTGGAGGGGGTCGTGCGCCCTTCCTCCTCCACCACCACCTCGGAGCCCCAGCTGGACTAAGGAAACTCCTGGGCGGCTTCCTCGGGCTCTTGCTCCGCTTGGCAGAAATTCTCACCCAGACTCTGCCTCCAGTGGCCCCCAGGTAAATTGAGTTTGAGACCCCCGGTCTATAATGAGCCTTTTTCAAGAGAAAAGGCACTCGAGAGAAAGTTAGACAGCTGCCCACTGTCTGGATTCCTGTGCTCAGCAGAGGGTTGGTCTCGATGGCCTTTTTTGGGCCCCTACCAACAACTCCACGGTTCTAAGATTTTATAAGTCAGAAGAGCCATTTCTTATCACACACTTCATGGCGGGTGTATGAACCCTTCCGGCTTGCTTTCAACCACCGAGCTGGCTTTCCAGGGAAAAACAGCTCCTCCTCCCCTTTCCGACATGTCACACCTGGAGTTCTCACGACCGACCGGCGTCTCTCCTCTGTGCTTTTTTTTTTCAGACGGGATCCTCACGGCCAAAATCCTGCGAAGTTCCAGGAATAAAGTAGGTCAAAGGAACATGAGTTTTTTTCTTTGGGTTTAGAGTAAAATAGGAAGCATGACACTTTGGCGGACGTGGTGAAAAAAAACACCTGTGTCCTTGGACAGGGTGGACTGCTCTGTTAAGAAGATAGGCATAAATATAAAAGAAGACGGGCATTGGTCTGTTAGGATGGAAGGCTGAGCCAACCTCGAGGCGGCTACCTGGGCAGTTGAACTGCGGTGCCCCGAGGTCCCAGCGCTTAGTTGAAAGTTCCAAGCAGCGTTGAATAGTTAGTTAAGGCAAGTTTACTCAAGGTAGCTACTAATGCCAGGCCTCCTAGTCATGATCTTGATGAGGAAGAAACCTTGCTTTGCCATTGGCTAGCAAAGCCAGAATGGGGAAGTCATGGTTTGAAGTGGGTCTCCCGGACTCTGGCACAGGGTAGCCACGTTTCAGAGTCTCGTGTGAATTCCCGAACTTGGGTCGTTTCTGGGTCTTTGCCTTCAACATCCCTGCCTGGAAGCTGAAGGTAAACCAAGCAGGCTAAATAAAACACAATTGGCTTGCTGGCGTGGAAGCTGGGTGGTTGCGTCTAAATAATAAAGCCAGACCATAGTTTCTGGGGAGATGTTGGAATTTGGTTTCGCGAACCAGCGGATACTGGTCCTGCAGATAAGGGGTGTATGTGTGTTTCTTACAGTGTAACAAATAAAATTACCGCGTAGCAGTGCCTATGAATTTCCCCAGGTTTGGGGCTACGTGTTTGCCCCTAAAGGATCTGCTCCCTTTTGTTTTTAAACCCCTCTCCTGGTCTGGCTTTTCTTTGGACGCAGCATCTTTCCGTCAGCTGACCAGGAAAACACTACCGCGCTCATCCCCGCCGCTCACAACACGGGGGGCTCCTTGCCCGATCTGACGAACATCCACTTCCCTTCTCCGCTCCCCACGCCGCTGGACCCCGAAGAGACTTCTTTCCCTTCCTTGAGCAGCTCCAACAGCACCGGGAACCTCACCACCAACCTGACACACATGGGCATCAGCACCGCCAATCAGGGTGAGCTCAAGGGGGTGTGTGTGTGTCTGTGTGTCTGTGTGTGTGTGTGTGTGTGTGTGTGTCCCTGGTGTTGCGCCGCCACTTCTTGTCTGCAGTGGCCAAGTGGCGCGGCGTCTGTTTTTTTCCAGTCTGGTGGCCAGAATTTTTTTTTTCCAAATGCATGTCTCTTGGTTTGGAATACATGTCTTGTAGCCAGCGGTTCTGGGAATGCCTTTTGATTTAAGATGCTGCCCAGTGGCCAAGTCCACATGGACGCTCAACCGCCTCTCCCTCTTCTTCTCCATTTCCGGCTTCAGGAATGACAACGACACAGTCCCCTTCCCGGCAGCCGGCGGTCAGCCCTCTCTCGCTGAACACCGACTCCAGGAGGACCCAGGCTCAGCAGGGCTCTCCCACGCTGTCACCTCTGTCGCCCATCACTCAGGTACAGAAAGGTTTTGCGGGCTGGGAGGGTGTGTGTTCGGAAAGACGATTGGGAGGGAGTGTGGGTCCCACCCTCTGTGGCAGGATTTCCCAAACGGAGCTAGGAATCATGCTGTGGGACCCGGCCCTCGGTCGGTTCTCTGGGGATTCTCCCAAGAAGTTGCTCTCTTTTGTAGGGCGCACAACCCTGCCGGTCTTCCTTCCTCCCAGGCTGCAGCCTACGTGACCTGTTGGAGCGGCAGTAGATCCCAAAAGGCTCTTGATTCGAGGTTTCCTGGCTGATTCACTTGTCCACAGTCTGAAAACATTAAAAAGGAAAAAAAAAATCCTAGAAATATATATATAAATCTGTTTCAAACCATGAAGTTACCAGAACTGGTCCCTAGATGGTGCCAGAGACCGTGTGATGTTCACTATTAAAATAGCATTCACTATAATGCATTATTTTTCAGCATCTGTGGGGGAGCGTGGAACCGATTCCCCCACAGAGAGGCGCATGTACTATTAAGAAGACCACAAGCATGTTTCTAAAGCCTACAAATGTGCTTTTTTTAAAATAAAAAATCTATTCTTTCCAAGGAGACACACACATTCCTATGAGAAATGCTGCCCCCCCAGGCAATTCTGCCTTCTGCTCCCGTGACATGGTTTCCCTGTCCTCTTCTCCCCCCCCCTCCAGGCCGTGGCGATGGACGCCCTCTCCCTTGAACAGCAGCTTCCGCCCTATCCATTCTTCACCCAGACGAGCGCGCCACAGCAGCAGCAGACGCAGGTGGCCAGCGCTCTGCCCCCCAACGCCTCCCTGATGCAGACCTCCGGTTTACAGCGAGGAATCCAGCTGCCCCCGCTTTCGGTCTCCGTCCCGTCCACGATCCCTCAGTCTCCACCGGGCAGCCAAACCCAGACCTCCATGGGGATAGATGTCAGCTCGGTAAGCGCCCTGGGTGGAGTGGCCGACCTTTTCCCTTCCTCGTGGGGTCCCAGAGATTCCCTGCAGGGCATGGGAAGCAGAGAAACCACCATTGGCAGCCTGGCTAAATCCAGTGGCTTCACAGACGGTGAATTGGCCGGCCGATCTCAGGCAGCCGCCTTTTGGAAAAAGCAACCTCTCTTTATTTTGGAGGCGGGACCTCGGAGCTTTCCCTTCAAACCACCAGGGAAACTGGGTTCAAACGGGCACCAGCTCTCATCGCTTCTGCCGTGAAGGAGCCAGGCTAGGAATTTTCAGGGGAAGAAATGCAATGCCCCAGGGTTTCAGAACAAGTTACCTATATGGTCTCGGCGGGGTGGAAAAGTGGTTTTCCCTTAGCTTCTCTGCACACCTTTCGGCCCATCCCTTCCGTGTGGTGTCTGTCCGATCCAGGCGTGGGTGGAATGCAGCCCGAAAAAGGCCCTCATGTCTTATCTCCTGGGAGACCCTGAAATGACTCCAAAACGTTGTTTTTACTTTTCCTTAACTCCCACCCACCCCCCATGCTTTGTAGCAGGTACAGGAGGGGAAATTACCATTTAAATTTTTGTTATAAATATTTCCGACACAAGAGGGCTCCCCCCCACCCTTGAAAAACGTGCCTTTTTAATAAGAAATATTTTGGTGGGTGGATCCAAACCCCAGGGTTTGTGTTTGGGCCCTTGGGGAATTTTGCCCCCCCCACCCCCACCCCAGTGCAGCAGCACATTTCAGGGAGGTATTTACACCCCTTTTAGAATGCCACGAAGGAGGGAAACGTGCAATGGCTCCTTCGAACGCCACCAAAGCCGGCCTGGGTGCCTAGATGCAGGGGGGGAAACGAGTAGAGTGTTAACTTTTTTTATACCTCCAGAGAGTTGATGGCGATCGTTCCCATCACCCTTCGTCGTGGGTTGCCCTCTTTGGGTGGGTGGGTGTGTAGCGGGACTTGTCATTCCACACAGGATGCAGCGGATAAGAAGGTTGATCAGATCCTTAATTCCGTGTTCACAGGACCCTAGTTGGTCACACCCCTCCGTTGTGTTTGTGCACTGCCACAAACCATGGGTCCTTCTGAAGGCCATTAAGCTCCTGCTTCCGGCACCTCTGATGAGACCCGTACTGGACTCTGATCCATGCTACCCCTTAACTGCAGCTTAATTCCCGAGCCTCCTTCCTTTCAAGCAAGACGGGGGGGGGGGGTAAGGGTTGGCCAAACTCCGCCATGGCGGCCAGCGATCGTGATTGACAAACGTGCAGGCGTCTGGATTCCATGCCACGGTTTGCACTCAAGGCGGAGGAAGAGCATGAGAGAGAGACACACACCCCATGTAAAGTTAAGCCTGGCTTCTTCCCCTTAATTGGACACGGCTTCTTCCGATGTCAAGACGTTCCCCCCTTAACTGTCTTTTAAGCCTCCTAGGGAAAGCGTGCGTCCAAACGAGTGGGACCCCGGCTTGCGTTGGCTTCTCCGGTTCTCTGGCATTTTCTCCCCTTCCTCCTCTCCCCAGCAAACTCTCTTTTCCCCCTTGGCGCTGTTAAGAAAAGCGTTCAAATGTGAACGTGCTGGAGGAGCCACAGGTGGCGGGTTTTCCTAACAGAAGCCGGAGAGAGACGTGCGCCAAGGAGAGCGGGGCGAAGCGGCTTTAAAGGTTCTTGCTCCATCCCATTCAGGCTGCCTCTTGCCCCCCCTCCCATTCCCCAACTGGCTCAGGCTCTGATGCCGGAGGGGGTCCGACAGCGTTTTCCTCGCGCTCTGGGCCATTCTGGTGTCAAAACCGCAGATAAAAGCCGTTTTTTCTCCCTGTGTTCGGAGGGAGGCCGTGCACAGACGGCATGAGGGACACCGCCTCCCTGCGTGGGGACGGTTAGAGGAACTGCTGGGGGTTTGAGGTCTCTGGCTGCAAAGCTTGAAGCAGGGAGTTCGAATCCCCCCCCAGGGGGGCCTCTTTTTGACAGGGGCTTGACTGGATGATCTAGAGGGTCCCCTTCCAGCTCAGCCGTTCTCAGAGGAGGGAGGAGGGAAGAGGCTGGACATAGGGAGGCGCTGGTATTGTGGGATGCTGTGGACAGAATCCCAGCGGGCTTTCGAAGACCTGGTGTGCTCCTTTTGTTTCCACAGCTTCTCAGGGCATTGTTTTGACGGTACTAGCTTAATCCCGCTGGGTGGACGGAGGACTTTTCTCCCCATTTCTTCTCCTCCCATATCATTTTCTCTCTTCTCCCCCCCATCATCATCACCACCACCACCATCCGACTCGGCCGTCCACGGACAAAACCTGTGATTTCTCTCTGCCTTTTCCTTCTCGACCTTGTGGCCTCTAACACTGTGTCCCTTCTGTAGGGCTCACTCCAGCAGTACCGCAGCAATGCCGGCTCCCCTGCCAACCAGTCTCCCACCTCTCCTGTCTCCAATCAAGCTTTCTCTCCCGGCACCTCCCCTCAAGTAAGGGACTTGGGATGCTTCGGCGTCCACGCTCCTCGGGTTCTCCCTTCTCCTTTTCCTCTTTTAATTTCTCATTAACTTGTTGTGGTTTTGCCTCCTGCTTCTTCCTTTCAAAAAAAAAACCAAAACATTTTAACGTGCTTAAAAGTGGGTAGACCCAGGAGGACCCCTATATCCACTGATTTGCTTATTCGCAGTCTATTGAAAGAAAATTTCCTCTATACATACATATATATATATGTCCACTTGAGGGAGCCAGAGACCATGCCGTAATTTGCTATTAGAATAGTGTTTGTTATCATCTGCCTTTTTCACTATCCGCGGAATAGCTTGGGACCCGCCACCCCAGATAGAGCGGTCCTGCTATTCCCCCCCCACCCCGTTTTGGAGGGTGGATGGGATTAGACAGGTTCCGGGGCAGGCGGGGGGGGCAGGTGAACAAACAAGGACACAATGGCGAAACGGGTCCACTCTCGTGTGAGAGTCTGTCCNTCTGTCCTGCTGCTGAAATGTTTCTCGCTAGGAAGCCTAGAAAGACATTGAAAGAGAGAGGCCCGTCCCCGGTTGGGAGCCCGGTGAAACCTCTCCTGAGGCGGCCTAGCCCCCAAAGGCCAGATCTTGAGCCCATCCCATTAAAAATCGGCAGAGAGACAGGACAGGAGGTTGGACAAAGGAAATTAAAAAACACTTGGGCGAAGCAGGGGTTCCAAAAGGGGTCTGTGAAGATCTGCCTTCTCTGGCTGCAGTTCTTCAGGACTTCAAACGGGGCGTTTCCCACAAATTAAAAAGTAGAGTGCTCTTTTTAAAAAAGATCTAGCTAAGATGCTAGTCCTCATTGTTCTGAAGAAGGTTCTAACACTTGAAGGAGAATGGCCTTCTGTGCCAGCGGTTCCCCTCCCTGGTGCCCTCCACATGTTTTGGATTAGAGATGGGCACGAAGCGCCACTTTGGCAGTTCGTCCCGGCTCGTTTTTCAGTCAAATGGGTGTTGGGCGCTTGCCAGCCCCACCTCGTACAGGAGGCACCTGCTCAGAGGCCGTGCCCAGAGGAGGCGGGACAGGGAAGCCAGGGCGCGGCCTCTGAGTGGGCCCCCACTGGAGAAAGCAACGAATACTTGTTTGGCTGAAAAACAAAACTGGCACGAACTAGCAGCTCATGCCCACCTCTGTTTTGGATCTCGAGCTCCCGACGATCCTCATCGTGGGCTGGGACAGCTGGGTGCCGAAGTCCAAAACATCCGTGGAGGAGCAAACAAGACAGAGCCATTGGTACCCAAAGCGTAACCTCCCAGAAGGGCCTCCTATGTTAAGGTGGAGCCTTCTTCCAGACAATGAGGACTAGCGTCTTAACTGGAAGGTTAGGGAAGGCTGGGCTGTCTGCCACCTCTTTTCCCGCCTTAGCCATTTGGGGAAACAGACCCGTTCTGTATGCTGGCAGGACACTCCTTCTCTCTCCTAAGCTTCATTTCTCCGCTGCCTCTTGTTTGCAACCTCATTTCCTCCTCCCGTCCTCCCAATACCATCCCGCTATTAGCTTTTTTTCTAATGGCTCACTCGCCTTCACCTCTGATTATTTTTGGCATTTCTTCTGTTGATACCCGTTTGCCTCCGGTAGCTGTCAGACAACCGTTATTTTAATTCTGCATTTCCCCAGCCGCCCTCACGACAGCTTGGCCCTAGGAGAAAGGAAGCAAATGATTAAATCATTCAAAAAAACAATGAAAAAACTATTTAATTTAGTTAATTTAATTTTTTAAAATTCAGTTCTGTCCAAGGAAACACTCTTGAATATTAAAATAATTTAATATAACAATATTGAAACCTTTAATTTAATAATTGAAATATTCAGCTTAATATTAAAATATTAAACGTCCCCACAGCTCCATGTGGGTCTCAAACATGGGCCACTGTGTTCCAAGTCCAGCCCGGAAACCAGTACACCTCACAGTTTCAGCTTTTGCCCGCCGGAGGGAACAGCACGTCTGTCCAGAAGCCGGTGGAAGGCAAGAGTATTATCTGGCCCACGCCTCTCTTTCTCTACTCAGAAGTGTCTCCCACGGAGATCAGTGTGGTTGAGCAGCCATAAGGGCAGATGCAGGATGCGAATCTTGGCTAAATCAGCCAGGAAGAGAAGGCGCTTATTATTTATTTTTATTTTTTAAATTGAGGTTGGATAAAGATTGGGAGCTCTCAAAATAAATAATACATGTAAGGAGCAGCATGCTGGGTGGGGTTCTTATTTTAGCAAAGGTTGATTTTTTTTTTTTTAAAGTGATGTTTTTGTAAAAGCTGTTTGCTCCTTTGCTTTGGAAAGAGGAATGTAAATGTATTTATTTTTTGAATCTGCCAGAATTGTGTTTGTTCTACCTGTCAGCCTAACTCAGTTGGGATAAATCTCAGCGGCGATTGACCTGGGGTGGGGTGGGGCAGCCGTATAAATATCCTTAACCTGTAGCCAATCACTCCTGAGATTTAAAATGCAACGATAGTGTTCTGATCTCCTGCTTGCCTGGGAGTGAACAGCAACAAACTCTGTGCGTTTTATCCATTTGATTGGCTAATTGATTTGTCCCCCGTTTTCAACCATCCAATATTCAGAATTATTTCAGTTGTGTCAGGTTGATTCCAACGTAATGTGGGGATTTTCTTGGTCGGTGGTCCACAGATGTGGTTTCCCAGTGTCCCGCCTCTAGGACCCCTCCCCCATGGGATGTGGGATGTTTGTGGGGCTAGGCAGGCAGCCGGGTGCATTCCCCCTCAAGCTGCACATCCTCTAGTCTAGAAGGTCGTAGCAGGCCCCATGGAGTCCCAGCCCCACGGCCAGGTGCTCCGACCCACAGGGACACAGCCCTTCTCCTGAGGGGTGGCGGCGGCAATGGTGGTCTGAAGAACATAAAAAATGCACCCTGCCAACAGTGAAGGAGCAAGGACAGACAGAACCACGGTAAAACTGGTGCCAGATTAAAAGCAGGCAGCTGAAACCCCGCAGCCTGTCAATCCCCGAGTCAGTCTGGCCGCGATAGAGACGAGGGCTGAGACCCCAGGGACCCCAGATCCAGATGAGGGGCCCCCACGGAAGAGGCCCTCTGAGTGGGGTTGCCCCAACTTTGGATCTGGGACTCCTTTGGACTACACCTCCCATGCTGGCTGGGGCATACTGGGAGGCATAGTCCAAAAATAATATTTCTACACTTGTGTTTTTAAATTTCCCCTGGCGTTCATGCGTGTTCCCTTGTTCTCCTTACTGGTGAGGTGGGCTTGGGCTGACCAACTGGCAAGGGGGGGTAACTCTTTTTCCTGCCCGCCCCATACTCAGCTTTTTGCTTTCTCCTCTGCTTCCAGCAAACGTCCATCTTAGGGAGCGTCTTTGCCGACTCGTGTTACGACCAGCAGATGACCGCTAGGCAGGCCAACGCATTGTCCCATCAGGTGAGTGGGCTCACACTAGCGGAACCCCCAAATCCCATCCTCTGAGGAGCAAAGGGGTCCTCCCCGCGTTCTCGGGACCTTGACCTCTGAGTGTCATCCCTTTCCAAGAACCCAGCAAATCCACCTGTCCTGTTTTTAGCCTCGTGGGGGGGGGGTCAGATCCTTCTCTTGCAGAATGGCCTCCCCCTTCCAAGGAGGGTGCCCACTGCGCTTCTGCAGGAGTCCCACAACTCTGGAAAGGGTGCCATGTTCCCGCCTGACTTGTGGGGAAACAGGGAGGGGTGCTGACTCTCAGCTTCCTTGCCTTCAGCTCGAGCAGTTCAACATGATTGAGAACGCTATCAGCTCCAACAGCCTCTACAGCCCCTGCTCCACCCTCAACTACTCCCAGGCTGCCATGATGGGGCTGACCGGCAGCCACGGGAGCCTGCAGGATGCCCAGCAGCTCAGCTACGCCAGCCACGGGAACATCCCAAACATCATCCTGACCGGTGAGCCGGGAGGGCCCGGGGCAAGCCACACTGGCCTGGCGCGGTCCCCTTCTGCGGGAGCCCAAAACTGGCCCAGAGGCTCTTTGTGACGCCCACACACACAGGGTGCTTCAGGGTGCCTGGGGGGGGAGCAAGGCCTTTGGGGAGGGAATCAGTCCAGCAGGCCGGGAGGAATTAGCAGCTTTCCAACACTGTCAGAGAGACAAGATGCCTGCTGCCAGTCTCTCAACAGTGTGGGCTTGTCGGCTCCCTGGTTCCTGAGCCAGAACGACAGGGAGCCCGTGCCGTTCTCAAAGCTTCCTGCGCTGCCAAGGAAGTGGCTCTACTCCAGAGGAGAACAGACAGATCCTAGCCGAGGTTATGCCCTCTCTCAATCTCTCTCTCTCTCTCTGTCCCCCTTCCTTCCTACCCTTCCAGTGACCGGAGAATCCCCTCCCAGCCTCTCCAAGGACCTGACCAGCTCTCTCGCCGGGGTGGGGGACGTCAGCTTTGACTCAGATTCCCAGTTTCCTCTGGACGAACTCAAAATCGATCCTCTGACCTTGGACGGGCTGCACATGCTGAACGACCCGGACATGGTCCTTGCTGATCCCGCCACAGAGGACACCTTCCGGATGGACCGGCTGTAGTGGGCGAGGAGCGCGCAGGAAGGAAGGGGGTGGCAGAGAGAGCGGGTGGGCAAGCGCCACATCGCCGAGCCCCAGAAAGAAAGGACTGGTCCGCCCTTCCGGCCGGGCTCTCCTGACCACCGCAGGTCCGCCGTTTTGTCCAGTTTAGCGGCGCTTCTTCACCCACCAAGCGGCCGTCCTGGTGCTGCCTCTGGCCCTCAGCGCCTGTGCGCCCACCTGGCTACCTGTCAGGAGAGCACCTTTCTCGGCGAGTCCCCTTCCCAGCTTCCCTGCCTTTTTTTCCTCCCTCTTGCTTCTCACCAAAGCTCCTGCGTTTGGTCGTTTTCCTTTTTCTTTTCTTTCAACCTTTGCACTAAAAAAACGTGTTTGTGGGCATTTGTGGGGTGGGGGGTTGTTGGGTAGCAGCAAAAGGCGGTGGACCTCCCCACCCCACCCCGTGCTAAGGCAGAGTTCCTCAGACGTGTTCGGCTTTAAAAAAAATCTGTGTAAAGAACCAAGTCTTGGGCTTCTGTTACAGCCAAGAAACTGCATGAAACTTGGTGTGTGTCCCCCCTCCGGAGAAACCGCTGCAGCTGCCTGGCTGGCCCCATTCCCAGTGGAGATGGGAGTCAGGGAAGATGGGGTGAGAACGTTGGGTTTGGGACCGAGAGCAGTGGGTGGGAGGCCAGGGGCGCCTCCCCTTAGCAGCATCTTGCAAGGTCCTGCCACGTTTTCCCCAAGCCTGTTCCTTCCCAAAAACTCGCCCCCTGTGTTGTCAGTTTCCTCCCTCCCTCCCACAGAAACACTTCCCCAGAAAGAAAGAAAAACTTTCTCGGCATGACCTGCCCTTCTCCACAACCAGCGGTGCCCAAAAAGCGGTGGGCGAGTTTTTTCCTTTGGCAGCTTCTTTTTGACCGGAGGGACAGGAGGGCGGCGGACTTTCCTCCTGGCACTTTCTGCGGTTTGATTTTGAGAAGGAACAGGGACGGCCACTTCCTGCCCGTTCAAAAACCTTTCTTTCCCTTTCTTCGGCTTGGAAGAGGCCGCGGTGTCTCTTTCTCTGTTTTTTAAAAGAGCTTTCTCTGCATGGCGTCTGCGGCTCGTAGGAAAAGCCAGCGAAATCCCTGTCGACCTGGGAGGAATAATGTGGCGGAGGCGCCCCCCCCCCCCGGTCGGCAAACCGCGGATTCCGGGAAGGGATCCCCCTTAGAGGGGTTTCTGTCCTAGACGTTGGACCCGGCACCCCCCCTTGCATGTGCATCCCCACACGCTTCCGAAGCTGGCCTGCTTTGTGTCCAGAGAGGAAAGGGGCTCTGCTCGTGGGCGCGGGAGCTTTTTTTAAAAAGGACCGAGCCACGGGTCGGCAACATCGGGCGCATTTCAATCTCCCCTCTGACAGGCCCGAAGCTCCCATGGGCTAAGCGTGCCTCCTTGACAGGGGCTAGACTGGGTGATCTGTGGGGCCCCAGCTCGGCCATTCTAAGGTGATGAGGAAGGGTCCCGAGGTAGAGAGGGGCGCCCCAAAGCCAGCCCCCGACAGAACCCCCATGGCTCGCACATCAGCTCCCTCCTGGAGGCAGCCAGTCTTTTCGAGCTGCTCCCAACCATCGCCCCCTCCTCTCCTCCCGGTCCCAGACCCATGTGGATGCCTGTCTTTTTTCCTGCTGCATGGAAGGATGAGGGTTTGGCGCCGGCCGAAGGGCAGTTTCCACCCCTCTCTAGTTATCCAAGAATATTTCATCATTTTTAATCTGTAGGGCAGCCAAGGGGAGTGTCCATCCTTGGGACAATGGATCTTGCAGCCCTCCTGCTCGACCAGAGTGGGAGCGGTGACGCCCGGGGAGCCTCCCCACCCCTTGAGTCCCAGGTTCAAGTCCCGCTGCAGCTTTTTTCCCCTCCTGAAGGCTGCCAGCCGCCTTTTCTCGCTGCTCCTGCAGACAGCCGGACAGCCTCCCTTCTCCCCCTCCCCACCCGGCGTACTTCAGCGGGCGCATGAAGGACCTCCCCCCAGCTCTTGAGCGTGTGCGCATGTCTTTCCTCTGTGCCATCGTCGGTTTTATCATTTTTGCACTAAAAGAGAGACTGAGAAGTTTTCTTTTTCAAAGTGTACAGTTGAGAGGTTTGTGTGTGTGTGTGTCTCCGCTTTGACGCTCTGTCCTTTCTCCCCCCCCTCCAAAAAAATGCCCGCTGTCTTTTTTCTGACCTCTTTGGGTTTTTTGCTTATTTTAGCCTCTCAGAAGTCCCCATGGTCTATATATATTTCAAAATGGCTCAGATCGTTGCTGCTTGTGCTCCGGAGAAATTCCCACCGAACAAAAGAGATCAGATACCTGTTCAGGTGGGGTCTCAAGATATACGAGGTATACTGGGCGATGAAAAAAATTCATTGGCCGGTGATTCAATCTCTCTCCCTCTGTGGCTCTTTCTGGCCTCTCTTGCCATCTCATCTCCCTGGCTCTGTTGCATGTCAGAAGTCCTTTTCTGTCTTTGGCCTGTTACTTGGGGGTTGCAACGCGGAGGCGTGAGGTCCCATTCCCGCACTGGGACGGTCCACAAGTCTTCGACCGAATTATTTTAGAGAGACCAAGATGTCTTGTTCCCCTCTGTTTATCGCTCCATTTTAAAACAAACACACATGTACATAGGAACGCTTATGTATTGATAAATTGTAAGTAGTTTTACAAATGGCCTTAATTTAATATCTAGCGATCTCTGTGTTCATGCGTAATGCCCCCTCCAAAAACACTGGGTTGTTTTTTGGGGGATGTCACCTATTAAGGGACCATTTGCTTCCGGCCAATAGGATTAAAATTTCTGGAGAGGCTGTTCAAGACAAAAAGGGTCGTTTAAAACAGTGGTCCTCAACCTTGGGCCTCCAGATGTTCTTGGACTTCAACTCCCAGAAATCCTGGCCAGAAGAGGTGCTTCTGGGAGTAAAACAAGGAATCAATTCGGTAAAAACATTTAGTGGACATTTCACCTCCTTTTCCAGTCAGGAGGCAGAATCTCTGTTTTTATGTTCCTTATTCCCTGGGTGGTCATGATTAAGAATGTCTGTACTTTTCTCCATGTAAGACCCTCAGCTTCTGTTACGTCTTGAAAAAACGCGTAGGGTAACTCCAGATTCTAGGACGTGGAGGTTGGCCACATTGGGAGGCAGCTACCGGCCTGAAATGGGCTAAGTAAGCTTTGTGGCCGAGTGAGGATTTGAACCAGAGTCTCTCTCTGCTCTTGTGGCCCTCGGTTCTCGGGCACCCCGTTTTCGGTCTCCGCATTCCCAGAGGATTGGGGTATTCATTTATAAAATTGGCGGACCTTTCAAAACCAAGGGATTGGGATTTAAATTCCATTTCCTTGGCTTCAAAAGGGTTTGTGCGAGTGGAGCACTCCATGTGTGTGTGTGTGTGTGTGTGTGTGTGTATGAACCTGGTCTTTTTTGTTTTGGGGGGGGTGTCCAGGAGCTGGCGTGGGGGCCTCGGTTGGTGCAGTATCTGGCCAAGCCACTGGGCCTGGTGGCCAGTTTTTTTGGGGGGGGCTCCGAGGGATTGTGCGCCAAGCGCAAACAGACCCTCGTATATGAAATTTGAAGAGATAGATGGGTTTTCCCAGAAGGAAGGGAAAAATGCTTACCCTGGGGCCTGTTTAGTATTATTATTATTTTCCTTATTCCGTTGTGTGGAAACTGTTCAGACGAATTGTTCCAAAAGTAGCCCAACTTCCCTATACCCAATGCAACACAATGCTTTTTTGACTAATAAAAGGCGCTTGGGTTCCCCCCCCCTTGGTTTTTCTTTTTAAAAGCACCTCTCTTGTCAGTGTGATTTTGTGAAATAGCAATTTAATTATCTACATAGGCATTCTTAAAACACACATACGAAGCAAAGAGAGAGAGGGGAGGGGGGGAAACACCCCAAAATTATTTTGGTAGTTTTAATTGGTTTTAGTTGTCTGTTAATGTAGTGGAGTGCAGTGACCGAGTCTCATTTCCTTTATACGGGCACTGGGATGTCCTGCGACAAGTGGATGATAAATCCTTTTTTAAACTTTTTTTTTAATTGACAAAAACCCCAAACCCATCCTGCCTTTGAACCCTGTCCGTGGAAATTTATACATGGCAGACAGTGTGGCCAACACTACATACGGAAACCTGAACGGTTGGTTGTGCTTTGACAAGGAGAAGGTGTCTTTATTCTTTTTTTTCCCTCTTGGAAGGAGAAGACACCTCTGTGTTTGTGTCTATCCTGGGATGGGACAGTTTCTCTTCTCTGAGGGAGGCAGAGAGAGACGCGGGAGAATCCCTGAGCTAGTCGCTGGCTTCAGGAAGCCTGGTGGTGTAATTTTTTAAAATCTAAAACCAAACATATCCTAGCTGATCTGGAGGATGATCCGGCGGTCTTGATTTGGTGTCGCCTCCCCTTGACTTCGAGGCCCCCTTCCAAATACCCCCCCCGAAACACTTTGGGGGGGTCAGCAAAGCTCCCCGAACCATGGCTGGGTTTTTCCTTTCCGTTGGCTGAACGGGATGGGCGAGGGGGCGAAGAGAAAGGCCACACTGAGGGGAGGCCGGGATGATTGGGAGGTTTCGCGGCCTTCCAGATCCAGGGTCCCTTGGCTTTAAGGCGCCCACATCCAGACTTCGAGGGTCTTTTCCAGTTGGGGATCTGCCGGCTCCTTCCGTGAAGCCGTTTCGGGACGGAGCGTAGGGGATGAGAAAGAAAGAGGGAGTCCCAACGGGCGCCCACGGCAAGACAGAAATGGCCCAGCCCTGGTCAAATAACTCCAATTTTTAAAAAATACAACAGCAAGGGGAAGCCAAGCGAGCCGAGAACACTAAGCAGGAGGCAGTAACGGTTTGCAAATCCTTGCGGTGATTTCCTTCGTCCCTCTCGAGGCAGAGCATCTTTTTTCGCCCTTGGTAAGCAGCAAAGGGAGTTTTAAGCTTTCACCTTCCAAGGGACCTGTGCCTTCAAGGCGGGCACACTGGTTTGGGCACAATCCTGTCCCCTTCTCCCCACCTCGACAGTGTGAGAGGAAGAGGGATCATTGTTCGAGGAGCTGGGCTGGTTCGGGATGGACGAACGGAGCCCAGTTGAGGTGGGGTCAAAGTGTTTTTTTGGGGGGGGAGCATTCAAATATGTCCTATTTGGATGGTTTTCCTTCTTTACCGGCTCCCTAATTCTCACGGGGGGGATGAGTGAGGGGGCCCCCTTTTTGCAGAATTATCCACATTTACGGTAACCTTTGAGCTGCATCCAGAACATTTCACTTAGCACATGAATGCAACTTAGCAACTCCGAACGTAGTGAATTTTAGCTCGTGGGGCAGTAGCTTTTGAGAGACCATTTTTTTTGCAGGCGGGAATGGATGTCTGCCCTCTTCCCTCCCAAAAATCCAGATGTCACACCATGAAGAGTAAAAAAATAGCATTGGGTGGCGCCGTAGCAAAGAAATATAGTAGGACTTCCATATCCACAGAGGGTTTGGGTCTAAGGCCCCTCCCCGCAGATGCTGGGAAACGTGGATGGTAGTGAACCCTAGACATAGCATGGTCTCTGCCTGCCTCTAGTGACCCATTCTGGTGATTTTAGAAATACAGACTTGGAGGAATTTTCTTCCAGATATTTTTAAGTTTCAGACCGTGGATGAGTGAATCAACTGATCCCGTGGATAAGGGGGTCCTCCTGGGTCAATTCAGCTGCCCCAAAATCGCTTTTTTACGGCGAGGCCGCTAAAAATAACCAAGAGACATTTCGTATTTTGAGGGCAAATGAACGCTGAGGGACGGACTGGGGGGGGAGGGATCAGCCTTCAGGTTTTGTGTGTGTGCGTTTTTGTGGTTGTCTTTTGGACTCCGCCCCGGCCCAATCTTTACAGTTTTTCTTTTGAACCCATAAGGACTAGTGGAATGATTTAACCAATATATGCAAAAATCCTACCGCTGAGCTATTGGTTTTTGGCTGGGGGGGGCGGGGGGCAACTTGGGGAAGGGGGCAGAAAGCCCAGGCACTCCAAAGCATCAAAGCTTAATTTATTGTGGCTTTTTTCTCTCTTGGCAAAACAAAAATAAAAAAAAATAAAGGAACCCTGAAGGTGACTTTGTCAAGCGCAAGCGTATGCCTGCGTGTGTGTGTGTTCTCTCTCTTTCTCTCTCTCTTTTTTTTTGCAAACTAAACATGACAATGATGTGAAGAAGAAAAAAGCAGCAACTTCTGTGTACATTCTTTTCGATCTTTTTTTGTTTCGTTTGTTCGTTCCGTTTCCTTTTTTCTTTCCTGTGAAGGCTTTTTCTTTTCTTTTTCTTTTTGTCTTTGTAACTTTGCGTTATTTGTAAATGAAATGTAATAAAGTTCAGCTGTTTTTCTCTTCTGGCTATTCAGTTCTGCTTTTCTTAATAATAATAGTAATACAAAGGATTTTAAAGTTTGTTGCAAGGAAACTGGGGTTTTTGCGATTTCCACGGGCATTTCTTTCCCCGTGGGTCTGCTCTTTTTTCTCTCTTACTGCTCATTCTCCCTCGCCTTCCACCGGCAAAAACGAGTGGACAATAAATACTGCAGGCCCGTCAGTAAGACAAAAGTTTTATTAACCAATTTCTCTGTGGTTTTATTATTACTGGTTTTTTTAAAGTGCATTCTCTATTCTGCTCGATCTCGTTCCCGAAATGATGGCTGTTTAGGGTTCACTGCTCCCCGTTTCCCCAACCTTCTGCCAACAGCGTTCTGTCCTTGCGTGTCTTTTATTAAATTAAAGCAGGACCCCTGTATCCGCGGGGGTGGGTGTGTATGGTTGGCTCAAAGCCCCCTGCAGATGCTGAAAAATGCGGATTAGCAAATGCTCTACATGGCATGGTCTCAGGTTTCCTTGAGTGGCCAGTTCTGGTCACTGTCATCTTTAGAAATATATAATAAGAGATTCTTTGATAAAGAGGATCTGTGGATACCGATCCCACGGATATAGGAGTCCTATGATAAAACAGACCTGGCCTGGGCTGAGGCTCCCAAAACGAGATCTCTTTTTGAGCGTGAGGATGGCCCATGCTGGCATCCAGGTCCAGGGGTTGGGGGTCCTCACAGGCCGCTAGCCTCCCCTGCAGGGCCCCAATGTCGGCAGTACCTCGTCCGGCAGGACCCCGGGACTCAGACTTTGGGGCGTCTCCGGCCAGCTGGGTCAACTGGGTGGGGCTGCCGAGGGCCAGAGAGAGGTGGGGAAGGGCCGAAGCTTGGGGCAGCGGTGGGGCCATTCCTCATCAGAAAGAGTGCGACAGAGCGGAAAAGCGGGGCTGGACGCAAGAAGGGCCGGCAGGCGAAGCGGCCATGGGGGGGAGGTGTTCAGTAGTCCCGCTGGTGGCGGTACGACTCGTAGTCTTCAGGGATTGTGTCTGCAAAGGCGGGAAACAAAAAAAGGGCGGTCAGCGTCATCCACACGCTGAGGGCGGGAGGCAGAGACTGGCCCCTGGGCACAACTGGGGTTGCGGTTCCCGAGGCGGGACTCTGATGCCCACATGCCTCGTCACTGCCTGAGTTAGGCTCCCTCCTGGTCACGCCTCCAGGGCTCTCCAACACCTGAACCCAGCACCATTCTGGCGCAACACTAAAGCAGGGCAGGAGAGGACTGCGGCTGTTTCCACCCAGAGGTCAGAGGCCCACCATTCAGGTAGGCCTTCGGGGGGAGGTGTTGATTCCCTGCACCGGATGGGGGTTGGGTTAGATGACCCTTGGGAGTCCCACCAAACCCAATTCTCGCATTAAAAGGACCTGGTTATCCCAAGAGAATGGGACCGTTTCTTGCTGCTTCGTTCTGGTACTGGGGACGCCCCTTTGGGGCCGGATCTGCTGCCCAACCCCATGGCAGAAGGCTTGGAGCAGCCCTGCCAAGCTGGAAAGCCTTTTTGGAGGGAGGGTGTAGGGATGAGCTGGGGAACCCCCCCTCCACTCACCATTGCAGCGATACCGCAGGTTGGACCAAATGATGTTCTCCTGGGAGAAGCAGAAGACGCCCAGGCGGCCGCCCCGCATGGTGGTGTCCAGGACTACACCTGTGTCGGCCACCAACTCAGGACCCTCGTAGAAACGCGCTCTGGGGACAAAAACAGTTTTAAAAAGTGGGGAAAGGCCAAAAAAAGGTGAGTCTCTATAGTTGGCCCTGGCAGGTTCTTAACCCCTGTATCTGCGGGAGATTAGGTCCAAGACCTCCGTGGATGCCGAAAAACGTGGATTATCACAAACGCTCTTCTAATAACAAACCCTGTCCATAACCTGGTCTCTGGCTCCCTCTTGTGTCCAGTTCTGATAACTTATCTTTATAAATCTATATTTCTAGAATTTTTCTTTTTAATATTTTCAGACTATGGCTAAGTGACCCGCGGATACTGATCCTGCGGATAGATGGCCCCCAGTGTGCAGCGTTGGCTAGAGAAATACATTCCTACAATGTTATTCCCAGAACTGGCCACTTGAGGGAGCCAGAGACCAGGCACCAGTATAACGCTGTTGTTTGCTAGAATCTGCGCTTTTCGGCGTCCATGGCACAGGGTCGTACTGTCCCATATGGAATAAAAATCCATTATTCTGAAAGCAGACACCAGCATCAAAACCAGGCAAAAGGGACAGTGTGCCGACATGGCCCGAGGGTGTAGTTCCACAAGGGGGGGAGCCCCCACCAAGCAGCCCTTTTCTCTCCCCTGCCCCCCCCCCCCCTTGGCGACTGATCTGACAGCCTGACCATGGCTAGGGACCTTCCGCCCTCCCACGTGTGCTGCGAGGGACAACATGCGGATTGCCCCCCCCTCCCCAGCTCACCGGATGTAGCCGACCTGCGGCCGGTGCTGTAGGAACCAGCGGTAGGAGGTCTTGTCTTTCCAGCCAACGTTCCGTGGGTCCTTCCAAAGCAGTTTCACCTGGTCGGGGGTGTCACCCGTGTGCCAGAGGGAGTTGCGCAGGTATTCCCCGGGGCCTGTCTTGGACTTCACCGCCTGGTTGCCAGGAGCAGAAAAGGGCCATGTTGGGATCCCCGGGCAAGAGAGCCGAAGGTTGGCCGCCCCCCCCCAAAAAAAACCGGGGGTTGTAGTCTGACGACCCCTGGTTTCCACCCCCCTACCTTGAGCTGAATCCCAGGTTCAGCCACTGCCCGGAAAGGGTTTGCCTGCCAGTACGTTTGCTCCATCTGCTTCCACATGACCACGTAGAAGCTCGCGCTGTCCTGGTAGCCGAAGATGAAGCCGGCGTAGTCGTCGTCCGTGGCGGTGTTCACGTGGAACGTGCCCTCAAAGTCCACCCCATTGAAGGCGGTGTACCCTCAACCGGAGGAGAGAGAAGACAACGGATTTGCACCGGCAGAGTTGCCACCCCGGGCCTGGCATCTCACAATCTTGAGGTTTAGATCACTTCTTTAAAATATATTTGCATTCTTATCTAGCCTATATAGGGTATAATGGGAACCCCTGTATCTGCAGGATCAGCATCCATTGACTCACTTATACCCGGTCTAAAACTATTATAAGTATTTTTTAAAAATCCTGGAGAGATGTTATTTCTAAAGAAAAATATTTACCAAACCTGGCCACTAGCGGGAGCCAGAGATTATGCAATGTACAGTATAGTGTTGGCGATTACAACATTGTTTGCTATTATCTGCATAGTTCAGCATCCATGCGGGACTTGGAACCAACCACCCATGGATACGGGGGTCCTCCTGTATTTTTTTTTTCTTCCTTAGTTTTGCTGTTTGTCTGCAGTGCCTTCCCCTCCTTCATTCCAGTGTGATTTTTTATAAGAACACACAAAAAATCCCTATTTTTATAAGTCCTTCCCACTTAAAAGAGTCTAGAACTTTACTTACCGACAGCCAAGCCTGGATCGCTGTTCATGGTCTGGACGATTTCCATGCCCTGCAAAATTTGGGGATAAGTTGTTTGTTTTCCTGTTTTTTTTTTCTTTTTTAAGCTGCTCAGAATCAGCGGGGTCCAGGTCTCTTCGCCAGCCTCCTGTTTTTAGAATGCAACGGCTCGAGCAGCAGGCACTGTACTTGGGAACGGAACGGACCCCGTGACAAGGAAGGAGGTCTGGTTTATCCCCGGCAGCCTGCCATACTTGCTCACCTGGAACCTCCATGTTCCAGGGAAGTCTACCTCTCCATCCTGAAGATGTTTAGGCTTTCTTAACCAGCCCTTTCACTTGAAGCCCCAGGCTATGAAACCACCACCCTCAGCCCAGCCTGCTGTTTAGGCCTGGCTCAGGATGTAATGAAGGCTTCTTTTAAAACCCAGCAGCTGGCTTCCCAAATCTAGGGGTGGATCCCCAAAATCCCTTCAGATCTCACCCCCCCCCAGGGTTGCTTAAACAGGGAGGATCCCATTCATCCTGTCCCCGGCAGAAGTCTCTTTTCTGGACTTCCCGGAGTCTGATTTGATCTCTCCTGCCACCCACCTGGTTGAGCACGATCCAGTTGGGATCAATCTGCGCGTCGCCTTCGGGATCCAGCACCACCGTCTGGAAAGCCCGGAAATCTGTCAAGGTCACCTCTGCATTCTCAGGGCACACGTCGATCCGGTCGATCACTTGGTCTTTGTCGAAATCGTCCTCGCAGGAGTCCCCGATCCCGTCTCCTGCACAGAGAGGAAAAGAGGGGTCAGCCCCTGAGCAGCTCTTCCCCACCAGTGGCGCCAAGGGATCGTGCGCACACGCCAAGCCCGTCTCCCTTACGGTCAGAGTCCTGCTGCCCGGGGTTGGGGACCAGGCGGCAGTTGTCCGGGCCCGGAGGCTTAAAATCGGGGATCCCATCATTGTCATCATCCTCATCGCACTCATCCCCAATGCCGTCCCGGTCTGAATCCAGCTGGGAGCTGTTGGGCACTGAGGGGCAGTTGTCTCGCGAGTCCTGGTGGCCGTCCCCATCTCTAGCACAGAGACAAAGAGAGAGAGAGGAAGCAGCGGGTGAGGAGGAAGAGAAGGATTCGGGGGCACGTCCCTGAGAGCGACCAATGAGACGACGGCTGCAAGTCTGGGATGGGGAACTAGCAACCGCCCTGTCCTCAAGCAGGTTTCGTTGGGCAGACGGTTGCTGTCAGGATGGAAGCTGGCACAAATCAGGAAAACAATGCAAAATCCCTGGCCACTGGGCCGCAAAGCAAGGCCTCCCCACAGGTAGAGGGAGGGCAGGCAGTTGTCTCACTCACCGGTCCTGATTCGTGTCGCAAGGGTCCCCCACGAGATCGTGATCGGTGTCTTTCTAAGTACGAGGAAGGGGCAAAGAGGAGTGTCGGGGTTAAAGCGGTAGAGGGTGGTCCCTCTTAACGGACCGGTTTATCCTCCCCCCCCCCGTAGCGGTTCTCTAAAGACTGACGCTTTATCAATAAGACTTGCCAATTAAGCATGTGATGCCAAAACCCAAGACAAAGCCGAAAACCTCTTGTGAGTTCCAACCAGAGTAGACCCATGAAAAATCAACGGCTGAATGGCAAGTAAGATTTATGCGTATCCCATTGATTCAGCGGGATTGACCTAACGGCCACTAACAGTAGCATTCTGGCTGGACAGATTTAAGGTAGGAACCCCGTACCCACGGGGGTCCGTTTCTGAGCCCCCCACCCTGCAGATGCTGAAAAATGCGGATTATAGCAAACACTATTATAATAGTGAAGGCCATCCATAGCGTGGTCTCTGGCCCTACTGCTGGTAATGTCTCTTTTAGAAATACATATATTTTAAAGACTTTTAATATTTTCAAATGTTTCCAGACCGTGGATAAGTGAATTGGCACTTCTGTTACACCTGGACCCTCGAGCCACGGGATCACTATCTGCGGAGTCACTCATCCAGTTATATCTATTGCAAGGGTGCATTTACCAGAAAGGGCTACTAGAGGGAGCCAGAAACTAGGCTATGCCATAGCTTTCATTACATCTGCGTTTTCCAGCATCCGCGAGGTGCCACGGCCACGACCATTCACCGATCTTTGAATAAACTGCCAAAACGTTTGGGGCCAAATTGTGCCAACCGTGTGTTATCCCAGAGAAAGGCTCCTCGTGATCAAAAGGTGCTCAACATTTCGCTCCTTGCCAAAACGTTTGGGGCCAAATTCTGTGTTATCCCAGAGAAAGGCTCCTTGTGATCAAAAGGTGCTCAACATTTCGCTCCCACCCCTCAAAAGCTGGTTCTCACCTGGTCTGGGTTACTGATCAGCGGGCAGCTGTCACAGACATCCCCCACTCCGTCACCATCGCTGTCCCTCTGGTCTGGGTTGGGAATCCTCACGCAGTTGTCTACCACGTTCTTCACCTCTGTGAAGGAAGGCAAGGGTTAGGGTTCTCGTTATCCAAACATCCCCCGCCTCGCCCGGTCAGAAAAGCTGGATCTCTGCTGGATCTGGCTAAGGGTCGATTTTCTCCAGAGCTTGGTTGCTTGAGGACGGGAGAGAGATGCAGCCTTCTTTCCTGTCCGTGAGAATCCAGAAGGGGAGGAAGCCTCGGTCTCCCTGTGTCTACACACGAAAAGGGGATGGACAGCGAAGCCTCTTGAGGCTTGACCATCGGGGACACTCACTATCGCCGTCCATGTCATCGTCACACAGGTCTCCGCGCCCGTCCCCGTCGCTGTCTCGCTGGTCATTGTTCTTCACATTGCGGCAGTTGTCACAGGCGTCCCCGAAGCTGTCCTGGTCAGCGTTGCGCTGGTCCGTGTTGCGAACGAACACGCAGTTGTCCTGCGGGGTGGGAGCGGGGAGAGGTTGAGCGGCTGTCCGCTTAAAGCCCTGGCGTTGGAGGCAGGCCATTGAGGAAGACCACGATCGCCTTCACATCTCCAGAACACCAGGCAAAAATACAAAAAGAGGAATTGAATGTTTTTATTCTCCATTGAAAGCCAATGGCTTTCAATGAGAGAGAAAAAAATTCACCAAAAATTAATGACGCCTCAGAACAACACCACGATGTCAAGACCCCCTCGGATGCCGGAAACCGCAGAAGGGAAGAACGGGAGCCACTATGCGGTCTCTGGCTTCCTCTAATGGCCAGTTCTCGTAAATACACCCCAGATATATGTATATACATCTTACACACCCTGGGAATGCATATAAGTAGGTATTTCTGAGTTTTAAATGAGTGAAAAGGGACATCGTTGTGCGAAAATTCCCCATAGGAAACATCGTTGTGTGAAGCGGCAAATTTTTCAGAAAAAGCCATCGTTGTGTGAGGCACTCGTTGTGCGAGGCACCACTGTATATGTACATACATCTTACACACTCTGGGAATGCATATAAGTAGGTATTTCTGAGGGATGTTTTTATTTAGTATTTTCAGCCAACGGATAAGTGAATCAGCGGATACCGATCCCGCAGATAGAGGAATCCTATTGCAGTTGCCAGCTGTGGAAGTACATGTTGTCTTCCAAGGGGGGCAACACTTTTTGAGCCCCTATGTGTGTGGCCGTATAGGGTGACCTCTGCCCCATGGTAAGTCGTGCAAATTAACCAGTGCACGGGCGAATCTACGACAGGATCCGGGCTGCAGTTCCTGCCAGATGTTCGGTGTTACTAATCCTGGAAATATTCTTTTCATGAATGCCCCCATCTGGGACTCCCCAGCGTTGTGCCTGGGGGGTCAGAATGTTGGGGAACCCGCCCGGAATATAGTCTGACAAAAAAACAGAGATTTCTGTTGGTGCTGAAAAAGGAACTGGATGGAGGTGGGCCAGCCCCATGTGCATTCTGGAGGCGAGTTCAAACCTCAGTGTTGGTGATCCCATCCCCGTCGGCATCATCGTCGCAGGCGTCCCCGATTCCATCACGGTCGGCGTCCTCCTGCCCGGAATTCGGCACGGTTACGCAGTTGTCCTGAAGGGAATAAAGAACAGGCCAAGGTGAGATCTGGGGGGTATGGAAGAAAAGGACGTTGCCTTTGAAACCATAAGTTCTAGAATCCTCTTGGGGTGGCTTCGGGAAATTGTAGGACTTAATTTCATGGTGTCCGATTCCCAAATATCTCAAAGAGTGAATTCTCGAGACCGTAAGTGCCAGTGAATGAGGAAAGGGGTGGACTCTCTCTAGGTGGAACTTACAGCTATTCTCTGTGAGTCTCTGTCCTTCTACTGCGTAAGAAAAAAATGGGGGGGCAGGAATTGGATCAGAAATTCCAAACTCGTTTGCAAACCCTGTGAAGTTTGGGTTAAAACAGAATCAAAGCACTAAAATTCTTATGATTGACAATAATAATGGTCAATAATAAGCCCTAGGCTCCCCTTAGACTCAACTCCACTGCACTTCTTCCCCGGAGTGGGATTCAGCCCACATCCCCCAAACCTGGCTTTTTGCCATAGGGTGAAGACGGCAGCCCAGCCCCCGCCCAAGGCCCAAGGCCCAACGCCTTTACCTTCCGACATTTTCTGTCGGTGCATCGCAGTTTCTCGTCCGGAAAGCCATCGATGTCGGTATCCTTCCCGCAGATGTACCCATTTCCTGCCCAGCCAACGATGCACTGAGGACAGAGGCGGGCAGAGTCACCAAAGGCCGTTGCCCCCACCCAGCCCCACCATTAGGGGACCACGGGGCAGCCCCCCCTTTCCTCCCAGGTAAGGGATTCCGGATGTCACCATAAGATAGCATGAGGCTGTCTATTTTCCATGGGATAATTGTCTTCTTAGCGGCAGAGACGGGAAGTATTACGGCATCGGCAATTATTTCTTTGTCACTGAACACATCAAAATCGCAGTATCTGCGGGGGTAGGAGCAGGGTTG